GCCTGGTTATTAAAGGAATATTCTATACAGGGATGATGACATCTGTATCTAAAGATGATATCAGTATTTTCCATGTCTAGACTGCACAACATTCACTAAATTACTTAAAGAAATATTACACTGCTTTACTCTCCCAGTAACTCCTCTCCTCCCTCTACATGCCTTCATACTTTACTGATTAATATTTACAAGCGCGTGTCTACCTTGTTATTCTTAGAAATAACATCTAAACATTGCCTGACAAGCATGCCTCCTAAAAGATCAGAATGAAGTTTGGATGACATGAGTCCATGGATGCAGCTCATCTGTGTTATCAAGACCATGTCATGTTATGGAACACATAAAAAATAAAACCAGTGAGCAATCAACACGCTGAAAACCAACCAAACTGACCCTTACCACACCCTATACATTGCTTCATCTGCTTCTCAACTTCTCAATAAATCCAGCCTAGCAGAAAGAATGCTGACATTGCTGGATGTTTTGTTAGGATCAGTAATTTTCAAGACAAGATTGCTAAAAGGCCCCAAAAACAAGGTCTGGTGCCACTGCTGCCCTTGCCATGAGTGGGACAGTGGAGTAGATTCCTGTTCAGTTCCAAGTTATGCTGTGATTCTCTGCCAGTGTTTTGTGTATCTGACAAGCCGTAGATTTAAAAACAGTTTGGATGCAAGTCCCTCAAAATCCACGTGTCTGCCTATGAATCAGATGTCCATTCTGCACGCACAGGGAAAGCAGTTGGCTTTCCACAGTGCTCCACCGAGGGCCAAATCCATAAAGAGTAAACACAGGTGGCCAGGCTGACCTACATCAGTGCTTCTGGTGTGCCTAACATTTTTCAGTGCATTCAGCATAGTAATTTCTGTGGTGAGCTGCAGGAAGAGCAGTAATTCTTCAGCAGTAACAACAGCAAGCAAGATGAGCAGGGACAGATGCTGTACAATGGTACCAAAGGATTAGAGGCTGCATTCAAACATCTTCCCTACGCTGAGCTGCTCAAAACAGAGAAACTCCTCTCACAAGGACACTTTTTTCCTCAGTGAAATACAGTGTTTCTAAGAAGATCAGGATCTACACTCCCTCCTGCCCTTTGTTTTACATGCTTGGATGACCAGATTTTTAGAATGGGTCAACCAAATTCCAGAGCAGTTTATCAGTCACTTAACAAGCTGTAATACCTTGACTGCATACCAAGGTCAAATATTTCTGCAGCGCTGCTTTTATAAGGCCTTGTCAACATCTTAAATAAGATAACATTCTTATCTCTGTATCCAAGATATTTTGCAACTTCATCCCATCTATCACACCTAGCATGTATTTTGAATAGATCACATTTAGAAAATGTCTGTATACCTCCCATCAAGATGTTTTTCATCCTTCTTTTTTTTTACCACTATATTATGTTTTAATTTTTCTCTTTGGCACCTCTAGCATAAATGAAATTACAAAACAGGAACCATCCCAGTAATGTTTAAGGATACTATAATCAGCTTCATGAAAAGGTAGGCTGCAAGACTCATTAATCCAGGCTACTTGCTTTTACCATGTATAGTCATACAAGTGGCACAGACTGAGTTTTGTTCTGCCTCTTAAAAAAAAACCAAACAAAACAATCTAAAAATGCTTCAATTGATCTTCCTTCCTCTAGTCTGAGTGAGCTGATATTTATATTTTCCGTAACATAGAAGACAAAAGCTGCATTGCCCTGCACATGAATGGCTCTTGGGCCCCGCCTGACACACTATTCTTAGCAGCTGATGTAAGTAATCACACATGTGGCAAAATCCACACTCAGGTTTCAGAGAATGTGCATCTTCTGCTGGCTGCCTGCAGATGTTGTTATGGAAAGCTGATCACTGAAACAATGGAAGGCCCAGAAAAAGGGTATAGGTGTGTGACATGTCCTTTCATTTACTGGTGTGTCCAGGAAATAGGTATCTTTCTGTAAAATTCTTGTCTAGATGTTACAGCGGGATGCATAAAGATATGGTTTCACCCAGGAAGCACCACGTGAGCTGTGTTACAGCCTTACTTCATCTTAGCTTCTGGAACTGTTTTACTGAATCAGTTAATGAAATTTCCTATCACATCTTTAGGTCACAGGTCTTAAGCTTAGGCCTCAAAATTCTCTTCACACAACCACAGGATAGTCAAGAATGGCAAGGTTGGTAAGGAAGACTTATACATTTCATTAGCATCTAATGGAGGGACCACACTTTTGGTCTGACATCACAAGCCTTTCTTGAGGATGAACTGAGAAGCATCGAACTGAGAAGCATCAAGATCGATTAACTAATGTGAAACTCACTTTCAGTTGTCAAGGCTGCAAAACTATTGCTCCTGTGGGACAGCAAACAGCCAAATGCCTACACAGATGCTCATCTGGTGTTTTAAAGCATAAAACCTGGGAGATGCAACAGGACAGATTGCACTGCTGTGTTTGTCATGGCTTGCCTGCATAGCCTCACAGAGCTCAGCACAGGGCAAAAAGTACTGTAGCTGCTTCTTTCTGCTACAATCTAAATAGTTAATCCATGTGACCAGGTTCAGCAGGCACATGCAGAAATTTCACCCTTCCTAAACTACAAGGAATCTTCTTCTGTCAACAGCAATCTGTTCATTTCCCTGGTCAATAGAAGCTCACTTTACCAGTATGGATCAGCTGCAGCCTGGCAATACGCTGAAGCAGGACTGCAGTTACTGTAATTCTTCAAAAAGCTGGGTGATGTTTACAACAGTTTTTGGCTTTCCTAAATGAGGTCTTCCTTTTTCTGTCAGTCACTAGGACTGGACATACAACACAGCATCAGTGAAACGACAGCACAACAACTCCCTGCTGTTCAAAATACACTTCCATTGTGAATTAGTACTCTTTCCATGAAATCCACAGTAACTGCTGAAAGAGCAGTCACCTATGCACTACAAAACAGTGAAGTCTTCCAGTGCAGAGCAGCAACAGCCCACATACATAACCTCTGCCACCATGCATTAGAAAGCTGCTACTGAACAGCAGTTGCTGCTTCCACATCACATAGTGATTGCAAAAGGGATAGGAAGGGCCACAAATACCCCTGATATATTAAGGCACACTTGCTTCTCAATCATGAAGCAAAGTAATGCAAGGAGTAGACCCATACTGCACCTTAACAAGCAGCTCCACAGCTCTTTGTGTCTCAGAAAAGGTAGAATCTTATGTCACTGCAGATCTAAGTGTCCTAGTGTCTTTACATGTTAGGGGGCACAGATACTAGAAGCCCATCTAGCCTTTCTTTAGGTTTTTAGAACAGAGTGAAACCTAGCAGCAATAGAAAAGGAAATGCTCCAAAAAATCAAAATAACTTGCAATAACAGAAACCCAGCATTGTCCTACAAAACACACTGAAAATATGATGGTATCTTAAAGAATTTATATTATATGTGAAAAAATGTTAAACCAAAATGATCTCACTATTGTCATTTCAGTAGGAGTACTGTGTATTCTTCACAATTTACAAAATCAGTACCAAATGCTGTTAAAAAGTCCTGACATATTTGTGTACTATCCTACCCTTAAACTGATCTATCAGTGCATTGCCTTTGGCTACCTTCTTGGCCAGCAGCCAGTTAGTAAAAGCAGTGACCTTAGATCACCTTTGTTCCAGAAGGCTACAAAATCACACTCATCATAGTTTTCCCAGTACTCACTGCTATGTGATGAATATTTATATTTTAAATACAGTAGTTGTGCCAGCCACTCTCACTCCATTACAGTTATCCACATTCTGAAGTAGCCCAGTTTCTGCAGAACAGAAGCAAACACTGCTACATGCAGATGTGACTACACACACACGAAAGATGTTACATTAAATACCACTTGGGCAAGGGTTCCATACTAATCTCGAAAATAAAGGCAGTCAAAAACACATCACTTTGCTTTTGCTGTACTTACTACTGTCTTGTGACAGCAAGCTACTGCACTGTCTATCCAGTGCTGAGGCTGCTAATGATGCACACGTGTCACAACTTGCCTTACTGAAGCATAAAACATCTCCTCTGCTAAATCCCTCCCTTGCCTGTGGTTTGTGCCTCTGTGTACACACACACGTGCTCACTCTCTCTCTCTCCCTCTCTGTCCTATCTTCTCCCTAGAGCATCATACCATTAACAGGAACATGCTGTGCAGAACTGAGCTTCAGTTTGAACACCAAGAAAATCCACTTCCCACTGCTAAATCAATGCCAGATAGTCCTTGCAATGAGAACAGCCTATCCAAAACAGTGTTGAGAGGAAGTGTAATGTGGCTGGAGGAGTAAGCCAAGCTTAGTAAAGCATCCTCCTGCTGCTCAAAGTGAGAAGACTGAAGTGAAAGTCAACCTTGATTAGACTGGAAAAGACAGCTCCACGTATGGTGTGCAGTCTGTAGCTGTGTGAATCCACACTGTTAGAAATGCAGCAGCACCACGTTCCCATATATGTGCCCTGCTGTTGTAGTGACAGGTCCTGAACCCACTGATTCTAAGATGCTAACCAAGCTGAATTGGTCCCCACAGATTTAAGAGTGGTTAAGACATTCATCTGAGAAGCCTCAGTTATGACATGCACTGCAACACTAAGGGAATTTTAAATGCAGCTGGGATGGGAAGCTGGAGGGAAGAGCAGGGTATCCAGACAGAGAAGCTGTCTGCATCATTATGGTCTTGCTTCATGGATTTGGACCATGGGTGAACAGGACCCTTCTCCCCTCCAGTAGCAGCCCTGCCAGCCAGTGCCAGGCTGGGTGCTCACTCAGACCACGCTCACAGGGACGCTGCTGACCGGACAGCCCCGGCACAGCCCTTGTGCAGAATGAGCACCAGTGTGCCTCCCAGTCATCCACCTAATGGCCCTGGGTCTCCTCCTCCAGATGCCTTTCCCAGCTGTGCCGGTAGCTGGCATCCAGCCGCGGACAGAGGGTGGGCGGGAGCGCAGAGCCGGACAACCCCCCAAATCCCCAAATCTCCGCGGCAGCTCCGTGTCCTTACCGTCTCGGGGTCATTCTCAAACACCTCCCGGGCCTCCTCCTTGCTGCAGTGCTCCTCCACGCACTCCCTCTCCAGGTGCCCTTGCTTGGTCTCCTCGAAGATCTGGTAGGCTCGCCGCTGCCGCAGGAACTGGGCAGCCTCCGGGGCGCGCAGCAGCACGGCCTCGCGGCGAGCGCCGCGACGGCGCGGGGGAGGCCGGGCAGGGCGAGGAGGAGGAGGAGAGGAGCAGGAGCAAGGACAGGCAGCGGTGAACAGCCGGGCCCGCCCGATCGCCCCGGATCCCCCGACCCCCGCCCCGCGCACCAGACCGCCCCTCCGGGGGGCACCGAGCGCTCTCCCTGCTCGGGCCGCCGCCCGCAGGTCTCCGCGGCCTCAGCGCGGCCCCCCGCCCGCATGCCCTGGCCCCGCCGCCGCCCTCACGGCAGCCGCGAAGCCGCGCATCCCCCCGCATCCCCCCGCACCCCGCCGGCCCCGCGGCACGGCCCACGCTCGCACACACGCAGGGCGGCGGGGGATGCTCGGCGGCGAGTGCGGCAGGGACGAACCCCCCGCGGTACTCACTCTGCGAGGAGTCCGCCGCCAGCAGGACGAGCAGCAGGGCGGCCCCGAGGGGCGCCGCGGGATGCGGCATCACGGTGCGGCGGCGGCCGGGGCCGAGCGCGCTGCTACTGCGGGAGCGCGGCGGCGGAGCCCGGCGGGGGAGCCGCGGAGCCGCTCGCCCGCCCTGCCCAATCCTCAGAAGGCACCGCCGAGCCGCTGCTCACGGACACACCTCGCGGCGGAGCGGCCGCCGGCCCGGCCCCGCGTACCTGCCCGGGAGCGGCGGGGGCGGTCACGGCGGGTCGGGCCGAGGGGCAGGACGCGGGCAGGGAGACTGCGCCCTCACCCCCAGGCGCATCCCTTTAATAGCTCCGGGCTCATCACTGGGAAGGGAGAAGCTGGCACCAACCCAGTCCTGCCGTAAATTAGAAACTTGGGCTCTCCCCACGCACCAACACAGGTTTTTGTCAGAAATGCTACTTCAGTTTGTTCCAGTATTTTAGGATGAACTCCCCAGGAAAGAGATGAATGCCGTTTGTTACCAATATGTTGCAAGCCATGCTTTACTGTCTTCTGTCCATCCAAAGTTCCACAGGACACTTCCACCGCGGGAAGCTGTAACCTAGAGCTGTGGGGTCAGAGCTCAGAGGTGCTCTTAGGCTATCTACTGCCACCGCTTTAAAACCACCCTTTTAATCTGTACTACTCTGTCAAAGGGTAAGTGTGACAGATAGCTCCAGTAACACCATGTCTATGCGTTCTTCAAGAAACCTCAGTGGCATAATTTGTTTCAGAAAAAGAGCTTGTCTAGTTTTATTTTGTCATTTAGCTATATCTAATATAGACTTCGTGTCTCCACAATAAATACTGTAAATGTAATATAACAAATGTAAACAATGTATTCACATTTCATATAGTTGAAGTAAAGTAGATGAAAACAGAAAAGCCAGCCTCATTCAAAGCAGTTGTCCCTAGGCTGGTATCTTCTATCTGACAGTGGCCAATAGCAGAGATACAGGTAAGAGGTATGAAAACATGTAAACCACCATGAAGTGGTCTTTCTTTCTGTTTTCAGCTCCTGAAGTGCAGGGGAAAAGCTCTCAGGTGAAAACTGTATCCACTGCAACCCTAATAGCCACAAATGTACCACTTCTCTTTGTATTTGTCAAATAGCTTTTTGATCTGTTGGTACACCTGCCTCCAGGAGTGGTGGGGAGGTCTCAAATTTGCACAAAAGCTAGATAGGAACTTTTTCTCACTGGTTTTAGATCAATTGCTTAATAATTTTACAGGGTACTTGCAATTTTGTCATCTAAGAAATAGTGAATGATCATGCCCTATTTGTTTCCAGCATATCAGTTTATAGACCTCTCTCATATGATTTCAGAACCATCCTTTTTCCTAAACTCTGGCTCTTTGGTCTTTTACTTGTTTCCAAACTCCTTTGAGCTAGCAAAGTCCTTCCAGTCCCTGTTGCTTTTCCCTGTCCTTTGGCCACATCCCTTTCTTGTGCTAGCATGCTGCAAACTCCATCAGAATAATCCAACAAAAATTATTAATTTTGTTTCAGATCAGTTCCCCCACTGAGTTCTGAACAGCTGCACAAACACCAAAAAGGAGAGGCTTTCAGGGGTGACAGTGAGTAGCTGCAGGCAAAAGAGCTTGGGCCTAATTGCAACAGCAAAGCTGGCCAAAATGGTTTATGAAGCTACAGCTGAAGGCAGAGTTTCCTAGGACTGGCTGCCACTTTCCTCTCTCTGTTGTGTATCCCCCTGCCCCCACGTCCACAGATGTGGCTGTGCCATTTCAGCTCAGTCACCTGGCAGGAAACCCTTCCTTTTTTTTTTTTTTTTTTTTTTTTTTTTTTTTTTTTTTTTTGTGTGTGTGTGTGTTTTACCAGGTTACTGTGCTGAACCTGCTCAGTGACAGCATGAAGAAGTGTGGAGTGGGATTACAGCACTAAATCCATAGTCTGCTCTGGGATTGCAGCCTGAGCCCCTCAAACATTCCCCAACTTTTCATCCTGCCCTGTATGTTTTCTATTTATACTTCTTTTCAGACAATGTGGACAAAACTACATGCAATATTCAAGATATGATATTATAGCAATCCTGCTTCTTTCTTACTTCTGTTTTTTTCTTACTATTTTCAAACATTGCATGGGTCACTTCTTGACCTGTTCTCTCCACAGAGCCATGGACAAGAGGCCTGAGATCTCTTTCCTGAGTGGAAAACCCTTTCCTGAGTGCAGATTTACCAGTGAATACAGAAGGTGAAGGCATTCTTTCACGGGTGTGTTGCTTTGTGTGTCTGTATATTAAATTTCACTTGTCATTTATTACCCTGTCACATGAAGAGTGTTATCAAGTGATACAGCCAAGCCAACTGAACAGCTTCTTGCTGCCAAAACAGGTTGTCCCACTCTGCCTTCCCTCGATGCTTCCACCCTATCCCCAGATGTACAATATTTGTACATTTCTGTCACTGATGTGACCTCTCAGCAAATAAATTCAACTCACTGAGTCAAGATAAAAGTTGGGGTTTTTTTTTTGCTAAAAGTCTTCTGATATTCTTGATTACCAGTTTAAGATTTGTCTGTTCAGATGAATTTTGTATTATCTGCCAACTGACCTCATGGCATTAAGCTTCTCCATAAAATTTCTGAAGATGTTGAACAGCAGAAATTTTTGTGGGTTCTGGAAACTGCATTATATTGTGTAATCTAATGGTGAGTTTTCTTTCTTCCTGATTTTTTTATCCTTTTCTGTTTATCCCATATGATCACACTTTGAGAGCATATGGTAAAAGACCAGTTCAAAAATTTTTTAAAATCCAAGTATCTAATATTATCAGAACCATCTTTATCTAAATAAATATTATTCCTTGAATCTCAAACAGATTTGCAAAACAAGACATCCTTCTTGGTATGCAATGCTGATTCTTCTCCAACGTATCATTCAGTTTACCAGTTCTGTTCTTTCTTATGTTTTCCAGTCAGTTACTTGGCACAGACATCAAACACTGATTTTGGTGAGCTCAGAAGTCTCTTCAATAGTTGCATTTTCCACCTTCCATTCTTCTGGCATGGTAGCATTTAAGGCAGATTTAAGCAATGAGCTGAATAAAGTAACAGTTTAATTTTCTTCAGAATTCATGGATTTTTTTTTTTTGTTATCTGGTCTCAGCTGTCCCAGTAATGTCTTAAGGAACATGAAAAACAGAAAAATAATGCTGAAAATATTAAAACAATGTTACATGAACTGCTTGTACTCTCAGCATGTCCCATTTTAGACTCTCTTTTGATTTTAGAGTAATCTAGACACAGATGTTTCCAAATCTAAATCTGAACCTGCAGGATTCATTTCCATTGGTTTTTAGACACTAACCAGAAATATGCGCCAAATGTAACAAGTTTTGAGGGAAGTGACTAAAAATACAACTAGAAGATATTTGTTAAGGATCAAAAATCTAAAAGTGGTTCATCGGTTCACAGACCTTGAGACACTTGCACCAAATTTCAACTGATGTCCTTTGGTTTCTCTTCCTTTTAATCCCAAAAGAAACCAGTGCATAGTGTGTAGACAAGCTGCAGAGGTGTAGCAGAAGGTTTAACTGAGCAAAGTTCAGTTAGGTTCCTGCCACTAATTACATTTGTAATCACCAGACTGCAGAATGAAACTAGAATGTCCTGAGAAGAGCACATAGGCCCCACAGCTTTAGAGCTGAAGAAGCAGGACAATGGAGCAGGTGAAGGGTCTGGAGCACAGGTCTCATGAGGGGCAGCTGAGGGGGCTGGGGTTGTTTAACCTGGAGTAAAGGAGGCTCAGGGGGCACCTACAACCACAATGACCTGGAAGGAGGTTGTAGTGAGGTGGAGGTCAGTCTCTTCTCCCAGTTAACAAAACACGGGACAAGAAGAAATGGTCTCAAGTTATGCCAGGGGAAATTTAGATTGGATATTGGGAAAAATTTATTCACAGTAAGAACAGCCGGGCATTGGCACAGGCTGCCCAGGGAAATAGCAGAATCATCACCCCTGGAAGTGTTACAAAAATGTGTGAGTGTAGCACTTGGGGATATGATTCAGTGGTGGACCTGGAAGTGCTGGGATACCAGTTGGATTTGATGATCTCAGAGTTTTCTCTTACTTAAAACAATTCTAGGATTCTATAGATTCATTGTGGACAAGAAGAAGGGATTCCCAAGCCTGCCCTTCCTTCCTTCTATCAGTCTTCTAGCCAGGGACACTGTGAGGTGCATGGTTCTTGACTTCTGAAGGACCCTCTCTTCTGTGTAAAGTAAAGGTTACTTTACTTTCTGTGTAAAGGTTAGACATGTCCTATGAGTTGTTCCACACTGCCAAAGTATCTCAGGTTTTAGAGCAAATGACTGTTTCACATGCTTATTCCACATTCACTTCTTGTTGCTTTTCCTTTCAAAGTGTTCCTAAGGTGTCATTACTATTTCTGCTTGTATTTTATGAGTAGAAATATATGAGATTACATCAGAATATTTAAGAAATTAAATGATTGTGGAAGGCAGCATACTTAATCAGAAAATCCCTCTGAGAGTAAGAGAGCTGATTCCATGATCCTTGACCAAAGTGCAGTACAGGCTGGCCATATGCCAAATATACTCAGCACATTAAGATCTGGAACTTGCTGCTTAGTTGTCAACTGTAATTCACAGACTGATGCCAGGAAAAAAACTGGAAGTTTCAAGGGCAAGGAAGTTCTGAACTGTCATTTTGTTCTCTCTGTTGCATGTCTTGGTTTCAGGTGAATGAGACTTCCTTTCATTAGAGGTTAAAATGGTGGCTGAAAATGTCTTTAGGCACCAGCAAATACAAATTGCTTATCTGGACAGTGGCACTCCCTCTGCAGCAAGCAAGACAACGAGCAAACTCCTGGGCAGAACAGGCCACTGGCATCCACGGGTGAGCTCTCGGACTAAATGGCACTGACCAACAGCACAGACCTCCTGCCAGAGCCTGCAGGACATCATGGCTCCTGGTTTGTTATATACCTCTGCAGGACATCGAAGGGTTGAGGTGGGGGTGCAGGACCAGAGAGTCTGTTTTCTGTGCAATCTGAGTCACCACTAAGCACCTGGAGGCAGGGAGCCCAATGGGCTGCTGTATTTATCGTGACAAAATGTGAAGAAGATCTTCCATAACTAACTCTGCTTTTTACTTCTTAGTCCCTTTTTTAAAAAATAGCTTTGCTTTTCTCCATTTTTGAAACAACCTTTGTACCTCTGGGATACAAGCATTAGATTGCAGACATAACTGTGTTGTGGAGGAAGACCAGTTCCTTTTATCTTACTCCTGCCTTCACATGTCTGTTATCCAGTTGAGGATATTAAATTCAATACTAATAGATTTCTTGCTTGATGGTTAAGCACCTGTTGTGCCATCACTAAATGTCTCTCTAGTGTCTTATTATTTTGCCATTTGGCAAAAGAATTTTGTAGAGGTTGAAAGATACCTTGATTTTCACCACATGAGACAAGGCAAAGAAAGGAGCTCAGAAACTGGAACTACTGTGGGCAGACAGACCATAAATAACTCTAGAATGCCCCTGACAGGTAATTTATATCAAAAAAGTAGAATCCCAAATATCCTACTGTCTTCACGCACACACATGAATCTTGTTTGTATGGAAAAATCACACAAAAATTCCTTACTGAAACAGTGTCATTTTGAGGACCTCAGGATTTGTAATTTTGTTTTACCCAAAGATGGAAAAAGCTCCTGTAGCAGTGTGTGCAGCTTGCCCAGGTGGACCTCAGTTAATTAGACAAAATATGGGTTTCCACACTAAACATTTAATATTTCTTTTTGTCATCAGCAGAAATTGAACCCAGACTTCAAGACTGGAAACTTTTATGGTACCAATGCAATCCCTGCTGCTTGGGAGACCCATTTGGTAGATCCATCTGGACCTTCTCCTAATGTGACACTGTCACAGATGACCTGGGGCTTTTTGCACAGCCTGCACTTTCCTTTTTAAAAACAGAGTTTTGAACATGTCAGCTTCATTTAATGCCTGGCTCTTTAGTGAGTCAAAATAAATTTAAATTTTGAAGTATTTGTGATGATGAGAAGTGAAAGTGGGAAGGTAACAAAAATACGATGCGAGCCTTCTAAAGAACATTTCCAGGCACTCAGTGTAATGCTGGATAGTCATGCAGCTCCACTGAAAGACATTACTGATGCATATACACATACTGATGTATGTGAAGCCTTATTCCAAGACACACACTGATGCAAAATGAAAGTGGTGATGAAAAAGAATGTTAGAAGAATGATATATTGCAACTGAAAGCAATTAGAAGCCAAGGTTGGATTCAGGCTATTTTCAGAATCACAGATAAATATGAAAAACTACTTTCTCCTCTTCCAAATATAAGTCCTTCTGGGAGCCACACAAACATGTGCCTTTGTTTAGATCAGGCCAATATTTTTGGGTGAGGATGTGAAATTTCATCAAGAGGTCCTTAATAACATAAATGGCATCAAATTCCTCTTCTCTGGTGTGTTCAAATTTAATATTTTCTAATAAAAACAGTCACAGAAAAGGTGCCCTTAAACTGAACACTCTTTTGAGTGATTTGCATATATTAGATCAAGAAGAAAATGGTTAACTTTCAAAATATGCTTAGTGAATTCTAGTGATAATGAAATGGATGAAAAGATTGAGTAAATGTAGATTAGAGAGAGAATAAGTAAATGTAGATTAGAGAGAGAATCAAAGACTTGGGTAAAAAGGGGAACTGAATGCATGGAGAGAAATGTAGAAGAAAGGTGGTTTATCTTTCACACATGAAATTTATTTTAAAAGGTATTTCATAA